GTGACATTGGCACCGCCCTTCTTTCCTGAAGCACTTTGAAGAGGAACTGAAATGGACGGATAATTGAAATCTGCTAGTGAGTAATTTTTGCTTGAATCACAGGTGAAGTGTCTATTTGTGACTCGCTTGATATGAGTTGATGAGTAGCCCAAGGCACAAAGGAAGTCCAGATAGTCATCAACGGAGTTGTCATAAACAAGGCCAGGATCAAGGGCTTCTACTGGATCCACATGCCCTGCACCATAATCGAATGGTGTTGCTGGTTGGCCAGTGGCAACATCTTGGATGGGTTTTCCATCTTTGTATGCTGAGTAGGCGGTGGTCATGAGGGCGGATCTAATGGCTGCTGGACTCCATTCCGGATGGGCAGCCTTCAGGAGGGCGGCTATCCCACTTACATGTGGGCAAGACATTGACGTGCCTGAAATGATATTGAACTTTACGCGCCTTTTGTCCTCTTCTAATCCAGTCGGAGCAGCGGCCCCAGACCACCCAGCCAATATATTGACCCCCGGTGCAATAATGTCCGGTTTAAGTACCTCCATTGTGATTGGATTTGGACCTCTTGAACTGAATGCTGCCACCACCGGAGATGGCTGAACGCCCAACTCTGTGCCTTCGGGCACAATTGTGGCTGTCGGATTAGCCTCGGTAGAGATGTATTTCTTGATAGCATCTCCAGTTTTTTCCCCTACCGCTGATGAAGGCAAGATGTGTGCATCGGCAACAAGCTCTTCCCCGTAAAATTCTGTGTTCGCTAAAATCATCCCAACTCCGCCAGCCTCCTTCACAACCAATCCCTTTTCCACTCTGAAGCTTCCCCCTCGATCACATAGCACGATTTTTCCAGCTACTTTAGCCGGAATCAAGGTTCCAGACAAGCAAAGATTGCCACTACTTGAATTACTCACGTTGGCGGCATAAACAATTGGCACCATGGAATTCGATGTAGTCTTTCCATTGTAAAGTGAGACACCGGAATATTTTTGTCCATCTCCTAGAGTAACATGGGTGGGGAAATCACGGTCCAAAGTCCCGGCACCGACCGTAGTTATCCACGGTGCTATATTGATCAAGCTACTTGAGTAGGGCCCGCCATTTCCAGCTGAGCAAGATATAAGAATTCCATATGCCATCGCCGAGAATGCTCCGATTGCGATGATGTCCTTGTAATACTCTGATCCTCCTCCACCGAGGGACAAGGATATGATATCCACGCCGTCTTTGACAGCCTTGTCCATGGCGGCTAAAACATCAGACCCAAAACAGCCGTTGAGCCAGCACACCTTATAAATGGCGACTCGAGCTTTTGTAGCCATCCCTCGTGCCGTCCCTGAAGCAAAACCAAATAAGCTAGCATCGGAAACAGCCGACCCAGCTGCCGTTGTTGAGGTGTGAGTTCCATGTCCATCGTCATCTCTAGGCGATTTTGATTCTACGGTTTCGTTAATAGGTCCGATGGCTCCTTCATACCCTTTTGAAAAATACCTCGCACCAATCAGTTTCTTATTGCAATTGAACGATTTGAAGGTCTTTCCCACCTCACACTCGCCACTCCACTTCTCCGGTGCTGGCCCCAGCCCTTCGTCATTGAAACTCTTCAGCTCCGGCCAAACACCAGTGTCCAGCACACCGACAATCACAGCGCTTTCCGATTCAAACGTGGGGAATAACGCACTACCCTTTTCCAACCCAAGAAACTCCGGGGTCCGAGTAGTATGCAGTTCATATCTTAATTCAGGAATTACAGAGAGAATCCCCTGCTGCTCTTCGAGTGCTTCGGCTTCCTCAGCCGTTAACCTCGTGGAGTAGCCATGGATTACGTTGCTGTAAGTGTAAAGCATGGATGCAGAGTCCGATACAGATTTCAACGATGAATCATACCATTGGAGATGGTTGGTGAAGCTCTCCGGCATGTTGGTCTTGTCCATGTGGATTATGTAAGTTTTTCTGTATTGCTCTGCTACCACGTGTGTGAAACATAGAATCACATAAAACAGAGAAATTTCTAGAAGCTTAAGCCTCAATGGCTTCATCTTGGACAGAATTCAGCAATAACAGAGTAAGAAACAAGATTATGTTGGTCTATTGGTTTTGCTGAATGAGGGTCTTAATAATAGTTCTCTATATGATGAATTGATGACACAGCGTACAGCCCAAATAAACACAGCCTAAATAATTTCTTCATTCAATAATTGAGAGGGATTCCTGTGATTATTGATTGATAATGATTCATGTTGGCGTTTTTGGGAAAGGGTGGAGAGAGGACTTGAAGGAGGAGAGATATCTGGAATTCCCTCTTATTGGGAGGTAAACACTCATTTTCTTTCATTAATGTTCTGCTATTTATAACAGAAACAATACAACATAAAAAAATATTTTTCTCACCTATTATTTACGTAACACAAAAAAATCTATCAAACATTTAGTAAGATTACATTAAAAAGATTTGCAGCCATTTTGTGCAGCTCCGACCATGTGGCTGTCACTAGTGCTACTGTCCATGCAGCTCTCACTTCTAATAAAAAAGAAATTTCTTTTCAAAAAAAAACTTGTAATAAAAAAGAAACAAATATCTATAGCGATTCACACTTATAAAAAAAAAAAAAAATTATTTGGGTGAAAGAGAAACTAAAACGCCTTTAATTAATTAACGTATACATAGAATTCGTTAGGAACATTTTAATTAGTCTTTTTTCGCTCATATTTTGCCATTGAAAAAGACGTTTTTACCTTGGGAGTTAAGAAAGAGAGGTTGTGTAAAAGAGGATAGCTGTGTAGCTTTCTTATTTTCTGTCATAGTTTGGCTTTGATGGAAAAATTGCCAATGTTTTTGGACCATTTGCTATATTGAATCTGAATCATTTTAATGCGGGAGTCTCCATCTCATCACTTTCAGTCATCGTCAATCATCGTTGGCACCTTGGAAGAATCATCGTCTAAAATAAATAAAGTAATGGAGAGAGCAAAGCATATAAAAAAAGAAAATTTTGTGTAACATATATATTAAAAAAATAAGTTAAAAATATAATTATTATTTTTTTATAATTAATTAATATAAAATTATTAAAATTAATATTTATTTTAATATTATTAATATAAAAATAATTTTATTAAATTAATTAATTAAATTAAAATTAATATGTATATTTTTAGTATAATT